ATTTGATGCAAGATGGCGGATGCATAGCCTATGATGCGCATAAGGCTCCTCCCAAGTACTGCCCACCTCATTCATTGCCCTGACAATACCTGCATGTCTATCTGAAATGACCCACAACTCCCTGTTTGTCACAAACTGCCTAATACATGCCATAAACCATGGCCAACTATCTCCATTCTCAGATTCAACAACTGCAAAGGCCACTGGAAATATTTGGTTGTTCGCATCACAACCCATGGCCACGAGCAATGTACCCTTGTACTTTCCGTACAAGTGTGTGCCATCAATAGTAAGTACGGGTCGACAATGCTTAAAACCATGTATTGATGCCTTGAATGCCCAAAAAACTCTTTGAAACTGCATATAACCTGTGGGAGTGTTGGGGGGTGGGTACCACTGAATAATAGTTCCAGGATTTGAATGTTGGAGCGTTGTCATGAAACGGGGCAATTCAGAATATGACTTCTCCCAACCGCCAAATATTTCTGCTATAGCCTTTTGCTTCCCCATCCATGTTCTCCGGTATGATATCGTATACCCATATTTTTCCCTCAGCATCTCAATGATAGTATGCACTTTAAGAGAAGGATCAGTGCGAACAATGTCTATCACATCTTTAGAGATGAAATCTGAAGTCAAAGCCACGTGATCGGTAGTGTCGGTGTTGCCAACGCACGTAGCAGAATGAGGTCCAGGATAACGCACAATTGTGAAGGTCTCAAGGTTGCCTTTGTTCTTTGTGGCGCGTATTCTCCAGGGGCAATCACATTCTTTCTTCCTTTTGCATTGTGCCACCCATTTGTGTTTATCGGACTCTATCACCCGATAAAATTGATTCCGTTTGATAGAATACAAGCTCACCATATTGATGACTTGTTCTTTGTTGTCAAACTGTTGACCGACCTCAAACTCACCATCGGGGGTAAACCTTTTCTCACCTGATCTACTCATCCACACATCAGTAAACCCTTCAGGGAGATCATACATTCTAGTAAAGTGGCTAGACGGGGCAGTTGCCGTGACAGTATCACCATCATCTTCATCAGATTCTGTCATGTCATCACCATTGATGTTCTCGTCAGCATCATCATCACTTCCCTGCCCATCCACAAATGATGCACCGTTGTGCAAATACCTACCATGTTCTTGTATAACCATGTTCAGTACACGAGCCTTTGAGGAGTTTTCTGCATTCACCCCTATATTGACATCATGGGTAGATACAACAGCATTTGATGCTGATTGAGTACCATAAGCGTCACAGGAATCCTCGATGTATACCTCCAGCGATGACATATCCTCCATCTGAATTATGCCCCACATATTTGTTATAGCTAGCTCATCAATGAGTGGCATAAGCATGTACTTTCCCCCATTCATGGGAAATTTCATTTTCAACCCCAAAGAACGGCTAGGATGAATCATTGTGGCTGCATGTATTTTTTGAAGGATCTCGAGCATGCAAGCGCCACGAGAAACCATGACAAAGCTGGTTCTACCACCTTCATGGCATATTTGCCCAGCATCCTCATAATAGTTCCCTCCCCAATGACACACGATTGGGAAGCTTGAAAAATCCATATTCTAATAACAATTCATTGTCCAAAATTCATGAGTACGCATCAATATACACACTTTATACACATTCAAATTTCCTAAATAAAAAAGCTACCAAAATTGTAATATATTCAAAAGTCGAAATTGACAAACAATTCACATCTCAATATGAAACTACCCAAATTTTGATATCTACATTCAAGTCTACATTCCAATACCCAAATTTAGCTACAATCAAGTCTACCCAAATGCCCAAATGTCAAAATACACATTAAAATTTACAATCAGTTTAAAATCAAAATTCAACATTTCATACATATCCACATTTCACAACAACTGAATTCACAATCAATTCATAATCCAAAAATTCGAAAATTTTAAAATTCAAAACCCTAAGTTCAAAATGAGATGAAATGGAGTTTGATTTACCTAGAAGAAAGAAGACTGAGTGTTGAAGATGGAGATGGAGGTTCGCCGGAATGGGGTCACCGGAGATGGAGGTCGCCGGAGTTGGAGATGACTCTCGTCGTTCGTCGGTCGTCGGTCGTCACTGCAGCTCTGCTCAATTTGGGGATTGGTTAACGCGTTCTGTTCTGTGGCCTTTTCAGATACTCGCAACCTTTTAAAATGAGCATAAAACCGTACCAAATGAGCATACATAATTACAAAATGAGTATCAAAATATTAAAAAACTCATTTGTGTGTGTTCATTATTTTTGGGCATTAAACTCATTTGAGTTTAACATAAAATTCATTTTGAAACATCAAACATGCATGAATATGACATTTTAAAATGAGTATTGTACTAACATCAAATGAGTATACATAAATTAGGGAATGAGCATTCAAAAAACTCATTTAAAATGTCTATTGTGCTCATAATTTAATCTGTTATGCTCACATCTGAAGAATTACATATATTCTCTATTATGCTCATAAATTCTCTGATATGTCGCCAAAGTTAGAAGCCAGAACGAGAACAATCTGCGGAGGAAGACCTGCAGAGGAAGATCTGCGGAGGAAGACCGGCGGAGGAAGATTTGTAGAGGAAGACCACCGGAGGAAAACCAAACGGAGAGCGAAGATCGAGAACGATCTGCGGAGGAAAACCAGTGCCCTGCAAGTTGCGATGCAAGCCAGAGCCTTGCGATTTGCTATCTAAAAGGCGGGTTGTACCGTGCGCACGGTACAGCCGGCTGTACGATGGAATTGACGCCCAAACTACACATGAAACTACCGATGCTAGGTCTTCCACAGGAATCAGAGAAATCATATTTTGATTATATATGTATTGTATGTTTGAGTATGATCACAAGGGATAGCCCGGTTTGCCGGACCAACTGAACTGGAACCGAGTCCAATGCTTTTTTTGGGGTCGGCCCAAGACAAGTTTTCCGGTTCCGGTCAAGGACCCCCCCCCCCCCACCTTACTTACATTACCCGGTCCCGGGTGATTTTTTTAGACCGGGACCAACTAGTCTCTCAGGCTCAGTCCTATATATCCCTAACGGCCGGGCAGTTTAAAACAAAATTGATCGACACCTGACTAAATTGCCGACAGTGGCGTGTTAGGAATTAAACTCACGCACGCGATGAATAATAAGAACACACGAAAATTTGGTAACTTAGTTTGCCACGAATGACTACATCTGGGGGCGCTATCAAGCCAGGAATATCATTGCTATTTTCAGATCTCACTTTGATTACAAGAGGGGAGCTTATCTTTATAGAGAGTAAAACCTAACCCAAAAACAGCTAGGACGCGCGGCCCAAGGGGGGAAGAAAAATTAATCCGTACGACCCATCTGTACGGAACTGTACGGAAAACTTGTTCGTCGAAAACTTGGATCGACGGATAGGAGTTGGTTATAAGTCTCTAACACGGATCCACTTGAACACCCTGATTTTTTTAAAAAAAACAGTGACCATTGTGAAACAAATTTTAAGTATTTACTTAAAATTGATCGCAAATAATATTATGTGAGAATATCGGGTACAATCTCTAAATATGAATCCTCTGATTCTTCACTTGCAATTTGATATGAATATAATTAAAGAATTTAATTTAAAATTAAATCTCTAATTCTTCAAAAACTCGAACGTTCTTCGATTCTTCGAATCTTCGTTCTTGAGATCTTCAAATCTTCGAACTTCGTTCTTCAGATCTTCAAATCTTCTTGAATGCAAAATTCAATATTGAAGGGCCTCCGGTTTCAAGTAGCTTGATCTTCAACAAAAGGGCCGTTATGTGGCTTGATCTTCTGTTAAAGGGCTTCCCGGGATATATGGCTTGATCTTCAATTGAATATTGATTCAATCTTCATATGAATATCTTCAAATCTTCAAAGATTCGTTCTTCATATCTTCGAATCTTCAAAGCTTCGTTCTTCAGATCTTCGAATCTTCAAGCTTCGTTCTTCAGATCTTCGAACGTTCTTCAACTTTTGGCTTTGTTTGATCAAGAATCGATGAAATCACAAAGGATTATTCATATATTCTTGACAAAAACGTGGCTTGATCTCTTCCTCTTCTTCGGAATCCTTCAGAGCCTTTCGGGAGTTCTTCAGAGCTTTGCTGCAGCGTTTCTTCGTCTGGAAGTTCTCCTCCTCTCTCAACTGAGACCCCTATTTATAGGTATGGAGGGGGTGAAAATATGGCTTAGGGTTTTGGAAATTCGTCCATGCCCTTCGGGCCTCAATTAAAATGGGCTTCGGGCTCTATTTGCTTGTATTTTAATGGCCAGAAAAATCAGCACTTGTACAATGTATCTGAACATCTTTCTTAACAAGGTTCCGAGTTATTTCTCATGCATATGGACACATTTCTTAACCAGATTCGTCTTCTCTATCAACTGGATCATGCCACTTATTCATTGGACCACTATTTCATATTCCGTATTGGGCTCGAAATAGAGAACTCAATAGGATCAGTCCATTTTGTTAAAGACTCAACTTATAATTAAATTAATTGGATATTTTAAATGATCCAAATTAATTTAATCACTAAATTTTATCTGAACGGATCCATATTAATATTTTCCTTTTGTTACGAATAGTCTGGTCGAATCCGATTTTGGCCCAATAAATTCAAAAGAGGCCTAGTAACGTGGATAATAGTCCAGTAGCATTTAAATCAGTTTAATAATATTATGGACTATCATAGAATAGTAAGTCCAAAATATTAAATAATTTTCAATATCCACAAATGCCCCCTCGAGACTTGCTTGAATATTCGGATCGAAAGAAAAGTAAGTCTCGAAAATAATATTCCATATTCACCTCATCTTTCGGAAATGTTCTGGATGCTTAATATAATTTCAAGCAAAATGATTGGCTTAAATCATTTATTCTCACTGGCTTGAAATAGAGCCACACTTCATCGTTCAGAGCAAATATAATAACCCAAGTACGAATAATGGGAAAAATTAATTCTGAATCTTTGTCATGAGGCAGGCCCAAATAATCAAAACACTAGGAGTATAATCTGCAAAATTACTTCCACGTACAGTTCCAAACATGAATCAACATTGAGTCCTCCTTCAACCCAAAGAGGATTTGACGTAGTCTGGGCTTTCAAGTTCTACCAGGACTTCTATTCTATCGTATTAGCCAGATCCAAACTCCTTGAATAACATCTATAAATACCAATCGAGAACTCATTCTCTGCATCTGCAATTCCCGAGTACAGAGATTTAGAAGCCTACGAAAGAGATAGATCAGCCTCTTGGAAGGTATAATCACTTTCATGTTTTTCTTTTGAACCCCTTTCTTTTCTTTATCAAATTGCAGGTCAGCGGCAATCTTCTCGGCGGACCCAGGCTTCACCGCAGGTTGTTGCTAGAGAAGAAGGTCTGGCCGAGGCTGAGGGTCGCCGTTCTAATTTACCGGAGAGAGGAAAACCGGAGTGCTCTTTTCCATCGCCGCAGGAGACCGAAGCTGATTTTGTTGTTGATGTCGTTCGCTGGAGAGAGAAGATATTGCTTCGTTGGCGGAGGTCGGTAGTTTTCTGGCCGAGTTTTGTTGATGCAACAGTACAAAGTCTATCCAAGAAGATTAAAGCAGAGGGGAATTCGTCGATGTCCAAGAAGCAGGTTCCGACGTAGGTCGTTCAAAGAAGAGGGCATCGAAGGAGTCAAACCATAGGGGCTGCCCAAAGAAGAAAACAATGAAGGATCCCATCCATAGCAGGCTGCCCAAACAACGAAGGATTCCATCCATAGAAAGCTGCCCAAAGAAGAAAAACAATGAAGGACTCCATCCATAGCAGGCTGCCCAAACAATGAAGGACTTCATCCATAGCAGGCTGCCCAAAGCAGAAAAACAATGAAGGACTCCATCCATAGCAGGCTGCCCAAAGAAGAAAAAACAATGAAGGACTCCATCCATCGCAGGCCGCTCCAAAAAAAAAAGCAATGAAGGATTCGATTCCGCAGACTCTTCAAGGAAGAGGACAGTGAAGGAGCCAATTCTATCATAAGTCACCATGTTACCGCCTGAGAAGATGACGGGGCTGTTGCCGTCAGAAGTTGGTAATTGGAGACTGATGTGATGTCGCTGCTGTAGGCTTTTCATCCTTAAAGTATATGATCGTTGATGAGGAACTCAATCGATCGTTAGGCTGCTATACCCCTTGCCAGGCCTATTCAAAATTTTAGCCTTCTGATTTTTTTTTCAAAGGCTCTTGCTATCTTCCGAACAATAGTAGATTATGAAGGGCCTAATTTGATATGATCATTGCATTATTCAATATTCAATGAAGAGATTTGACTGATTGCCGATCTGTAGTGTTGCCAATTTCTTCTGTATTTTCTCCATGGAATTGATCACTTGGCCTGAGATTATTTATCACTTCCGAACTGCCCTCTTTTTTTTATGTATTATTATTATTATCTTTTTTTAAAAATAATAATAATAATAATGACTTTTTTTTTCTTTTCTTTCCATCAAACTATATATGGACATATATTTGATTGCTTTCTTGCTCCTCATGAGTTGATATCGTCTTACTTTCCATTTTTCTTTGACCAAGATCAAACTTTATTGGGGTTTGCGTTGTTATAACTGAACTCAAAAGTGAAATTTTTGAGCTGCCTACGTACTCCTATGAAGGAGATCAAGTCAAACGTAGTTCATCGGTACCATTTGAATTGGTAATCTAAAAAAGGTGGGGTGCCGTACACAGTTTTAACTCATGCGGGCCAGGAGCTTGCCGTACACATTTTAAACTCTCGTGGGCCAAGAGTATCTATGATTATGCTCACCCATAGACAAAGTGAGATGTTTTAGCAGTTTAGCCACTTACAACATCATTGGTGGTTTAAGCCATTCAACATTTCCTGTGGCCATATGCATACCCCAAATATCAAGGGTAGTAGAGCTTTAGGAATCTCCCGTTGATCGGGCCAATCTTTGAGCCATCTGCGTCGACCAACTTGTAGGCACCGCCTGAATATACTTCTTGAACAACATAAGGACCATCCCATTTAGGCGAGAACTTGTGTCCAGTTTTCCTTGTAATAATGATAGGTCTTCGCACAGCTAGAACTTTATCACCAACTTGGAAAGAACGAACTCTAACTCTCTTGTTAAAAGATCTTGACAAACGTGCTTGATAGCATTCTAGGTTCTGCTGAGCTTCTAACCTCTTTTCATCAAGTGCCTCGAGTTCTGTCAACCGCAACTTGACTTTTTCTTCATCAGTGATCCCTTCTTGAATAGCTAACCTCAAAGATGGTATTTGGCGCTCAAGGGGAAGGACTGCTTCGGTACCATACACCAAAGAATATGGAGTACTTTGGGTAGGTGTTCGATAAGTCGTTCTGTATGCCCATAATGCTTCTTCCATTCTTTCGTGCCAATCTTTCTTCGATCTTGACACTACTTTCTTTAACAGGTTGCAGAGAGTCTTATTGAAAGCTTCAGCGAGGCCGTTGGCGGCAGCATAGTACATAGAGGACTTTCGTTGCTTGAAGTCGAACAACTTGCATATCTTGTCCATCAACTTGTTGTCAAAAGGTTTCCCATTGTCTGTCAAGATATATCGGGGAATGCCAAAGCGGTAAATAATGTGGACTCGGATGAAATCAGCAACATTTTCCTTCTTTACCTCTTTCAATGCAACTGCTTCAGCCCATTTTGAGAAATAATCAGTAGCGGCTAGTATGTATGAATGCCCTCCTGATGAGCTAGGCGTGATTGGTCCAACTACATCAAGTCCCCAAGCGTCAAATGGCCATGATGCTACTGTCGGATGTAATGGTTCTGGTGCTTGATGGATAAAATTTGCGTGATATTGGCATGCCTGACATCGCCGAGCATAATCCATGCAATCCTTCACCATAGTCGGCCAGTAATATCCCATCCTCTTGATGTGAAAGTGCAATTTAGGACCAGACTGATGAGCTCCACATACTCCGGAATGTGCCTCTTCCATTGCTTGTAGGACTTCATCTCCACCCAAACATCTAAGGAATACACCATCAAAAGATCTTCGATAAAGTGTATCCTTATAGTAAATGAAACGTGGTGAACGCCTCTTTAGGTCTACTTTCTTGCGGGGATTTTCAGGTAACTTCCCATCAGTAAGATAATCAATGAGTGGCTGTCTCCAATCTTCATTTTCAATATCATAAACTGATGTAGTTGGCATCTCGATTATCTCTTCGGCTGCACCATCTTCTCCGATGAAAGGAGGAATTACCCATTTTTGACATACCCGTACTTGAGTTTCATCGTCAAGATGTGCCATGTTTGATGCTAACCCTGCTAGTGCATCAGCTTGCTTGTTTTCTTTTCTTTGCACGTGTTCAATTGTAACTTCACCAAGCCATCCAATGAGTGCCCTTGCGTATTTGTTGTAAGGATGTAGTTCAGGCTTTCTGACTTCATAGATTCCAAGCACTTGATTGATGATTAGTTTTGAATCGCCATAGATATTAACTCGTGTCTGCTTCATGTCTACAGCTATTTCAAGTCCGAGGATGAGTGCTTGATACTCAGCGACGTTATTGGAGCATTGTTCCATAAGCGTGAAAGCATAGGACAGAACTTGACCTTCGGGTGTAACAAAGACAACACCAGCTCCGGCTCCTTCTCTATGTGCAGCACCATCAAAATACATCTTCCAAGGAGGCAAAACTTCAATTATAAGCACATCTTCATCGGGTAGATCATTGGAAAGTTCCCACTCAGCAGGGATAGGGTGATCGGCTAGGAAATCTGCTAAAGCTTGTCCTTTTACAGACTTTTGTGAGACATAGACAATCTCAAACTGTTGAAATATCAAATACCATCTGGCAAGACGATCAGATAGGACCACTTTAGACATCACATACTTCAATGGATTCGCCCTAGAGACAAGATGTATCGTGTGAGCTTCAAAGTAGTGTTTAAGCTTTTTGATTGCAAATATGAGGGCTAAACATAACTTCTCAATGGGCAAGTACTTCAATTCATGTGGAGTCATCATTCTGCTTAAATAATAAAGGGCATTCTCCTTCCCTTTATCATTTTCTTGAGCTAAAAGAGCTCCCACAGATCTTTCTTGAGCCGCTATGTAAAGTATTAAAGGGCGACCGGAGACAGGAGCATTTAGAACCGGTGGCTTCATCAAATAAGCCTTAATGTTATCAAATGCATTTTGACACGCTTGGTCCCATATGAAAGGCACGCCTTTCTTCATTATTCGACTAAATGGTTGACATCTTCCAGATAAATTTGAAATGAACCTTCGTATGTAAGCCAGCTTCCCTTGCAAACTCTTCAACTCATGAATATTTCGAGGCTCGAGCATATTTACAATAGCATCAATCTTGGCTTGTTCTATCTCAATGCCTTTGTGGCGGACAATAAATCCCAAGAATTTCCCAGCTGAAACTCCAAAAGCACACTTCAGAGGGTTCATTTTGAGACCAAACTTTCTCAGGCGATCAAACACTACTCTTAAGTGTGGTAGATGCTCATTTCGGGCCTTTGACTTCACCACGAGATCATCAACATAGCACTCCACGATTTTGTGAAGAATATCATCAAATATTACCTGCATAGCTCGTTGATAAGTAGCTCCAGCATTCCTAAGTCCAAACGGCATGACCGTGTAACAATAGATTCCCTTAGGAGTTCGGAATGCCGTCAATTCTTCGTCCGCGGGAGCCATACGGATCTGATTATAACCGGAAAAACCATCCATAAATGACATAATTTCATGCCCCGTCACAGCATATATCATTAATTCAATGATAGGAAGTGGAAAGTCATCTTTTGGGCAAGCAAGGTTAAGATCCCGAAAATCAACACATATTCGGATTTGTCCATTTTTCTTTCTGACCGGGACAATGTTGGCTATCCAAGTAGGATATTTTACTTCTCGGATGAACCTAGCATCAATAAGTTTATCTACCTCTGCCTCGATTAATGGGATTAAATCTGGGTGGAAGCGCCTTTAATTTGAGCCTGCTTTACTGGTCGACATCCTTTCTTTATCGCTAAGTGATGCTTCACCAGCACTGATATGATGCGTTGCGGCTCTATTTATGAGGATCCTTATGGGTTTCGGCTGAACATAACCCAATCCTGTGTGTCCTCGAAGATTGATCTGCTTCGGTTTCCCTTCACCACCAGCTTCTGGAATAAGTTTTCCCAAAATCTGTTCGTCGGGATTATACCCAGCCTTGGCCAGAAGTTTGTATGCATTTGGGTCAAATCCTTCATTTGTGCGTGCCTTAGGGAGCTGAAATGTCTTAACATCATTCTCGTGTTTCACTTCATCCTTGGATGTGTTTCGAGGGTGCCTTGATATTTCAATCTTTGCAAGAGGGAATACAAGCCCTTCTATGCCTTCAACGAGCTTCCCTTTCAACTTTGGTTCAGCCAAGGGGCGATACTCTTCTTCTTCTCTTCTTGCATCGTCATCTTTAAAAACTTTGGCCTTTAGATAAAACTTTGCGTCTGCAAAGTATGTCTCGGCTTCTGTGAATGGAGTTTCATCGGCTACTACCTTCTTTACAACGCCATTTTCCTCATACATGAAGCATTGATGCCACGTTGAAGGAATTACACCATTCTCATGGATCCATGGACGGCCCAAAAGGAGATTATATGAAGCCTTTGCATCAATGACATGGCATAAAGTGCTTGCCTTCAACCCGCCGATGGTTAAGTCAAGACGTATCATTCCAATCGCCCTTTGCCCCCCTTGATTGAAGCCTTGAATCATTAAGCGGCTTTGAGATAGTTCATCCATTGATATATCAAGGTCTTTCATAGCTCGGACCGTCAAAATGTTAACGGCAGACCCTTGATCTATCATAATTCTTCTGAATCTTTGTCCACGAGTGTATCCTTCAACAAAAAGTGGACGATTATGGGGGGTAGCACCCAACATAAGATCTTCGTCTTTAAAGACAATGTCAGTGGCATATGCGGTAGATTTTTGTGCTTCGACCATTTCTTGCTTAGTCGAAACTGGATTTGAACATCTACTTGAACCCTCAACTTCTTTCTCATGTGTGCTAAGGCAAGAACTCGAAATTTGAGTTACTTTGTTCTTGAAATCCTTTGGCATATAATCGTTAAGAGTTATCACCTTCCGTGCAACCTTGGAACGAACGCGATCATTTCTTTGTTTCTTTTTCTTCAGCTCGTTTATCGGTTTTTGCATGACCCATTTCTTTACCATTTTCCTCGGTTGTGGCTTAGGTTTGTGGTTCTTCTTTTGTTTCTTTCGGGCAACCAAAATCCACGGTCTCCCTTTGTCATCAACATCCTCAGATGCCATTCCTTTAGTGAGAGAAGGACATTCTTTCGTCCTCTTGACAGTAAAAGGAAGTTTATGCTTTGGGTCATCATTGATCATAAGCGGAGC